TCTCATAAATATTTGTTGAATGAATGAAATGGCATGTGATGCAAATGGGGGAAAGGGTTTTTTCTCCTCCCAATCTCTTACTCATTCACTGCACCCTGGACGTAGAATGCCCACTGACACACACCTACCTATATGTGTATCATCCCAAGTTGCTTCTTAAAGAAACAAAAAGCCAAAGTGGATCTTCAGAACCCCTCACTTTGTGCAACAAGAAAAGTGAGAGGAAGAAATGAGGAGTCAAAAACAGGATCGAGCCTGTTCCTTACAGGCAAAATAGAGTGGGCATGAAAACAAAATAAATCCCATACTCTCTCCAGTCCTGGGAACCCGATGTATCAGCAATGGGTCGGTGCGGTACCTCACCAGAATGCACGGGCCTGAACACTCTTATCTTTGCATTTTTAAATCGACATCTTTGGATGGAGTCTGCTGAACTTTTCCAGAGTGAGTAAATGACCTTTTAGTGGGACAAGGGCTCTCTCTATTAATTTTCCAAATAAAAATATCTTGCACGTTTTAAGAAGGAATCACAAGTAAAGTATTACAAAGTTTAACTACAAGATGTTCTTGTATGGTATCATTCTCTTAAAATAGAACTCTCCTAAAATCTCCTAAAAATAAGTCTGCATAGTTTCATTTCATTTTCTAAGAAGGAGACAAACATATCAAAACAAACAGGTTCTTTATTAAAGAAAGAGTCTGTCTCCTACATGGGGCTCGGAGATCAAAGTCTAAAGGGCCAATTTCTTCACTGCATAGGTCGATGACACAGCTCTGAAAAGAGGAAAAGCAGTCCCCCTAGTGTACCGCTGCTGTAGGAAGAGGAAGTATGTTAGTTGAGAATCACTGACAATGACAGTACTGCAAAGGAAATTACAAAATAGCATTTTGGCAACATGGGCGAAGCAGAAGAGAGATTCCTCACACATGACCATAACTGGCCCTTTGGTGAGTTACTCCAAAGGTGACTGAGGTCAAAATTATGAGCCAGTAGGGAACTGTGACAACTTTGTCATTTTCAAAATTTAAATATGTATATTTTTAAGTATAAAAGTTGCAGTGAAAATATCATTTTCTTAATACAGTATGTTGAAAAGGAGGTGGATGCATTAATCTAAAAAACTAGAACAGTGGGCACATAAACAAGTTTTATGTAGCAGGTCAGCCCTCACCTCGGCAAGTCGCGCTAAAAGCGCACATTCTCATAAGAAGGCAGACTCGGTCTGCTGAAGAACCACCCTCTGTAGGAGCAGCAGCAGAAGTCATCATGGAGTGTGCTGCATTTGTGAAACCGTGGGTCCCTCCACAGAAACCTGTGAGCCCCCAGCGTCTCTGTGCCCGGATGGGGGAATGCAGGCATATGTGTGTGTGTGCAGGAAAGTACGGGTTCCACAGGCCTTACAAGGTGAACCGTGGAGTCCTAGAGGTGTGCCAGGACAGGAGGAACTGAGAAAACTCACCCGTTTAGTTAGGGGTGCAGGTGCAAGTGAGCTTAACATGAATTGAAGGAAATGTAACCTTTTCCCCTCTTAACCACATCTGATTATTCATTTCTACTTTAATGCTCGAGGTGAGGGAACCTGTGAGATAGCTGTCGCCATTCCCCTGGTACAGTGTGCATCTGGCAAACCCCTAACTTAACCAGGAACTTCCTCTTTCTGTTAAAGTGCTCTCTTTTTTCTGCCACATTTATCACTCCACAGTTCCCAAACACAAGTCCTGCTGGCACTGGGCAGCAACACAAACACGATGCACTCCCTTCACCTCCGCCGACACTCACTTGTCTTTCTGATGCTGAAGTAATAGCTGAGACATTTTTAGACTGAGAGGCAAATATGTTTTTCAGGAAAGCAACTGCTACTATGTTAAGGTTACTTATTACTTAGTAAATAACCTTTTAAAAAGACCAATTTAAAGAGAAAAACAGTGTGATTAAGAACAAAGACCTCTAGAACTGCGGCTACTAATTACCTCTGTATTAACTAGCTGTGTGATTTTAGAAAAGCCATCAACTTGAAGAATCAAGTTCTTCACCGATACAAAATAAGGGGGTGTAACTAGATCAGCAAATCTCATCCTGGCTGTACATTAGAATCACCTGAAAAACTACAAACCTCTCTCCCTCCCCAAACTACAAACACTAATCCACAGATCAACACAATTAAATCAGATTCTCTGGGTAGCAGTATTTTTTAAAGGTTCCCAGGTGGTTCTAACATGCAACCAGGGTTTCAGACCACTAGTCTCAATTCTGATTCTCCAAGGCCTCTTTTCTAATTCGTTCATTTTATGGTCTTAGGGTGATAATTCTGGTTATAGGCTCTCATAATGCAATGGTCCAAAAAGCCACAAAAGAAGTAAGGCCTAGACCCTACGTACTGTGCCTAAGTGCACACATGACCAGGAGACATTAACCTGAATTCTAGACAATTTTTAGAGGTTAAATACCTGAATGCATAACTCAGAATGAAAGTGGTGTGGTTTAAGTGTTCGCGTATGCTTCCAAAATGACTAATCACAATAGGAATCAACTCTTGAAACCTGGACACATGAACGTGGGTCACAATTAGCTCCTGACCTCTCTCCCTTTTCCTCTTCTTCTGCCTCCACTAAACCACAAGCACAAAAAGGGCTGGCTGTTAGTCATAATCGGAATATGAAACCAGCCCTAGTTTCAAAGGGCCCTCTCCATCACCACAGGTTTGGAAGTTTCTGCACGGCTGCATCTTTTGAGAAAGGTCGTCTTGCAAAAACTCTTTTAACTAAAGTATATCTCTATTGTCTTCAAGAATTAGTTACATAATACTCAGAAATGGAACTCGTGTAAAAATTCACAGTAAGCATCACTAAATGCATGTCTTGTAAACATATTAAGGCTTGAGAGTTTCAATGTACAGTATTTAATAAAACTTTGGTTAAAGATAAATAAGACAGCAGAGAAGGGAAAAAAGAAACTGAGACCAAAAAATGTTTAGGGAATAAAACCACAAAGTTTATGACTAGGCCCAAAATCTCTACTGCAAATCCTGCAAGCTGCATGAAAATAGAATTAGCCCAGTCTCAATTCATGGTTACTTTTGACAATACCACTTTCTCACACAAATCTTTTTAAAAATGTCAAATGCTATTAAACTGTTATTATTTTAACTAGAGGCACAACAGCAAGAAATGCTATTTGTGAAATTAAATTACTTTTATAATCTTAAAAATCATAGGGAAGGTGAAAGCCCTGCCTATGTTAACTTTTTCAAGTAAAGGTTGCTAACTTTAACAGAGTCTGCACACCAAAGCCAGAACATGCAGGACTAACTTTCAGGTGTGAGGAATTTGAACAGTATTCCAAACCTCCACATCTAGCTCCTTAGAGCCTGTACACTGAGATTAACCCTTGCTATCCACCGGGAAACCCAGTTCCAAAAGCTGTCACATTAGTACTACTCTGACACCGAACTGAGCCTTACTGAAAAGACCTCTCATCACACTCTCATCTCACACAACTGTCATTCCTTTGCAAAGCAATAAAATTAAATCAAATGTAACATTCCTAATGTCAGCATTTGTTAAAGGAAATGAAAGAGACTTGTGGAAAAACATCAATGCAAACATTTTGCTTTTAAAGTTTGTTTAATCTAAGCAAGGCTGAAATCTAAACAAGGCTTCTCCAATACTGGCTATAAATTTTTAAGGCACTTACTTTTAAGCAAATTAAGACAAACACCAAATTCTTTAGCTTTTCATATACAGTCTCCTCCCTCATGCTTCAGTTCTCCACTAAGGTCAAACTTTTCTTATTTTATACACCTACTGGAACCCAGAAAGATACAGGGCTCCACAAAAATGATAAAGGAAGAGATGGGAGGAAGCAACTACCTCTTTAATTTAAAAAGAAAGCTAATTGCAAATAGAAGCAAGTGATAAGCAATTTCTATCTCCAACTGCAGGACTCTCTTTTGCCTGGTACTGACACGTTCATATCTTGAAGGACGAGGCCAGGAGGAGCAAAGCAGCTGGGTATCAGCAGGGGCACAAAAGCTAATCTCTTTGGATGCCCAACTGCAGGAAGTCATTACATCATAGGCCTTTCCACACCTCTCTCCCTACCACGTGTCCAGTGCCCCCAAGAGGCTGAAAAGGAACAGTAGAGAGCCTCTCTTCAGGTTCACATTGATAGAAACCATTACAGCCCAGCCCTGCCCCCAAACCTCCCTCTCAAAGGCCTGGGTGAGGCACCAGGCCTCCAGTTCTCCACATCTGGACCCCACCTCTCAGAACGCCGGAGTCCAGGCCTCGGTCGGCGCAGCAGGTGCGGGCCAGGCTGAGTAGAGGCGGCAGAGCTGGCCCGTTCCAGGCCCCAGAACACCTCAGAGGCCACTGAAGCAGATTTACTGAAGAGACATCTCTGAGAAATAATGTCAACAGAGAGACGGCCAAGAAAAGGTTTGCAGCCACTGCTTTTTCTAATGATATCTTTATGCCTGTGGGAGTTAACACCCACAAGCCTGAAAGTTGGACTCAAGGGTCTCATCCAGCTAGTGACAACACACCATGCTCCCGGAAAACACAAATCCGACTCCTTCCTCCCCTTGCAAAGCCCCAAACATCCCACTGCCCCTCACTCCCCCTTCAGCGTCATGGACACACGGCCACTATGGTGACTTCTACTCCAAAGTTGGCACCGAACCTACCTGCTCTGCCATGTCTCTGAAATCCAGCAAATGCACTCCTGTCTGTCCTTCCCCTGCCGCAGTCCCTAGCCCTCTCTGCGAACCTGATCATGCCTGAGACTTCCCAAGGAGCCACCTTCCCCCGTGCTGTCCCTCTCCAGCTGTCCCCAGGTACCCCTCCTCAGAGGTCATACACAACCCCCAAACCCTAACAGCGGAGGCTCTATGCCAACCCCTCTCCTCCGCGCCAAGAGGCGCGCTCCGAAGAATCGAAGGCGTCTCGCACTGCGCAGGAGGCCCAGCGGGTCTCATCACACGCCCGAGGGGGGTACGCACCTTCCAGCCTGCAGAGCTGTTGCTGTCGCCCTTATCCTTGAAGTAGGGCACGCAGCGCACCATCCACTCGTAGATCTGGGACAGAGTGAGCCGTTTGTCGGGGGAACTCTCGATGGCGCGTGTGATCAGGTCGGCGTAGGACAGGTTCCCCCAAGCGTTCCGCCGCGACGAGCACTTCCTCGGCTGCCCGGAGCCCCCAGCCGCCCCTGGCTGCGGTGGTGGCAGTGGCTGCTGAGGCTGCAGCGGCGTCTGCGTTCCCCCGCTCAGCGCACCCGCCGCGGCAGCTGGCCCTGACCCCGGGTCCTGCCCTCCGGGAGCCAGCAGCCGGGCCGAGTCCTCCAGGAGCAATCCAGTGCCGAGGGTGCTGCTCCCACCGCCTCCGATCGCCATGGCTGAGCTGGCCCTACCACCGCCTTCCTCGTCGTCTTCATCGTCCTCCTCCTCGGGGATCATGGAGTCAGCGGCCACCTCCCCCGAGGGTTTGGCCGGGCTTCCCTGGAGCTCCGGCCTCTGCAGGGGCCACGTACAGGAGCGCGGCCGGCTCTGAGGCTCGAACTCCGGGTCCAGCTCCACTTCGAGCGGAGAGAGCGGGGCCGGGGAGGCCGGCGCCTCTGCCATCTTCGCCGCCCTCCCGCGGCTAGGGCTCTCGCGCTCCCTTCTCTGCCCGGGCGGGGTGCGGCGGGGGAGGGACTGGGACACCGCGATGGCTAGAGCTCCCGGGCGCCGCCGCTACTGTTGCCGCGCTGCCTGGGGAAGCACGAGAGGAGAGAGAAGGGGAGTTGGTTATCCCGGGCTGAAGCCCAGTCCTCCTCGAGTCCTCACCCGCCGCGGCACAGCGCCTGCCTCCCAGAATCAGGCAGACCTGGAGACGTGCGTCCCGCGAACCTGGCGCAGCAGACACCGCCCCCTGGCCAGGCCGCTGGGGAGACGCGGGCGAATCCACGAGCTCGCACGGGGCAGCCCCCTCCCCCAGCCGACGGCCAGATCCGCAGGTCTCTCCTGGGCTAGGTGGCTGGGCGGGGACGAGGGGGGAGGGGCGGGGGAGGGGCGCGGCCCGCGCCTTTAAAGCGGGCAGCGGCCGGAGCCGGCGCACCCCAGCCGCGGTTGGTGCCCGAGCTCCGGCGGGCGTGCGTTTGTTTATGTTTCGCTTGGGCCCGTTCTAGAGCTTCCCGCGGCACCGCCGTCAAAGTACGTGGCGTCTTCGGCTGCTCTCCCCTTTCTCATTCCTGCCGCCTCCGCGGCCCCCTGTCACCAACCCCCCTCCTAGCGGAGGGACGTGAGCCCGGGCAAGGCGCGGGCGGCTCCCGTCTCCCCTCCTGGCCCGCGGGCCGCCAGGGCGAACGTTAGTTGGGGCGCAGTCAGACCCTGGTCACTTCCAGAAAGAAAGAAAATACGGGAAAGGGGACAAGCAGCTCAAAGAGTGTTCGCAAACGGTCGAGCTGAGCAAAAACGGTTACTTTAGGGTTTTGTGTGGTTTATTTTCTCACGGATGTTCTGCCCTCCACCCCTTCCCCTGTAAAGGACGGGGGGAGGGGGCAAGTCAGAACACAAATCTTCCAACAGGTCGGGAAGCGCTATCTCTCCCGGGCCGCCAGAAAACCCGGACCAGTATGTTCATCACCTCCTTGCTCCGGCTGCTGCCATCTTGACAGTTTTCCCCCCTTCGCTCAAGTCCTTTAAAAACACTAGCGGGAAAGAAGAGGGGCGCGCACACCGAGTCACGGGGAGAGAAAAGGGAAGCGCCTGGCCCAGCTCGGAAGCAGATCCGGAGTCACCGGGAAGGTGGCCGCCCCGTTGCACAGCTCCGGCGCCTACCTCTGTTCCTTCCCTTTCAGGGACGAGGGGGGAGGACGCACAATCCCGCGCGGGCCCGGGGCACGGCGAAGAGGGGGCGCGCAACCTCGGCGAAGGAGAGGCACCTCGGCCGCCGCCGCAGCCCGCCTGAGGAACCGCCTGTCAGCCTGCGCGCCGCTGCCTTCCACATTCCTCCTCCTCCCTTCCACGAGCAGGGCGGCCGCCGCAGCAGCACAAAGTTATAGACACACGCAGGGTGCCTCAACCTAAGATGACGGCGGGCGGGTCCCCGCCCAGGGGGAGGGCTGGGCGGCTGGCCGGGGTGTGCTGGTGTCCGTGCGTGTGTGAGTATGTGCACTCGCGTGCGCGCTTGCGCGGCTCGGCTCCTCCGGGCTGTCGGCGTGGGTGTCGGCGCGCGCCGCGGGCAGGACTCCGCGGGCTCTCGCAGTATCCCCGCCGGGCTCCTCCCCCCTCCCCAGAGCCTCAGACAACAAAGCGCCGCGCTGGCTCTGGAAAAGAGGAAGATGGGCGCGCAGAGCTCCAGACGCTAGACGAGCGCATTGGAGGGGTCTCCGGGTCTCCGTGCCTACGGGTGGGGTACCTAGCACCCGGGGTCTCCGGCAAGCGCGTCTGTCTGCTAGGCTCTGGGCCTGCCCAGGTGTCCGGTTCCCATTTAGAACAGGATACCAGTTAACACCTGAGATAAGATGCTGACCGCAGATGACAAGGGTTACCAAGGCGTGGAAATACTGACAAGCGAAGATGTTGGTGCCTTTAGGACTTCGATAAGCTGATACCCTCCGATTTGATCGGGCACCAAGAGGTTTGCACTGAGTCTAACCCAGGACGCTTGACAGCAATCGTTTTTCACTTTTCATGATTTTATGGCAAACGACGGGAGAAGTTAGCTAACTCAGAAAAAAGCAAATTATCCCCCCATTCCTAAATGCAGAGCAGATTTTGAACAATTGTAAATGGGGAATCATCTTATTTTAATTTGGAAATGACTGCAAACATCTAATTGGGCATTTTGACTTTTTGTTTTGTTTTGTTTTAAAGAGCCACCTTTACAAGTCTTTATCCAATCATCAGTGCCCATATCACTCATCTATGTACTAAGAATAGGCTACATGCTACATGCACACCAAAACTCTCTAAACACTTTGTCTTATAAAAATCTTTTTTTTCTCCTTTAAACCCTTCCAGGTCACTGGAGATATCTTTAGTGTCTACAGCGGGGCCCGCACCACCCAGATACACAAAAAAAGTCCAGCCAAGCATATGCAGAAGTCCGCCCACTCGGCTAACTCCAAGCTCCGGGCTTTGCGCGGAGCCCGTCACTCAAGTGACGCGTGGCCCCGCCCCTGCACCAAGCTAGTTCGACGCGTACAAACAGATGATGTCATTGTATCCGCACGCGCGTGACCTGGGAGCTCCATACCGCGAAGCCATTCGCTACGCCGCCTACTCGTCAAGCCACACCGCGCGCTGACTGGCCGCTGCCACAAGTCTCCAGGTCCCAGACGCCCCTCTCCGTCCCCCGCACCTCCCCAGAAATAATAAACAATCGAGTAAAATTCTAAGGAGGGGTGGAAGGGAGGAGGAGAGAAACCGTAAGCCAATCCTTCACGCGCGGACGGAGGAAAAGTTAATAGGAGGGGGACGTGAGAGGACCGGGGTGGTGAAGGGTGGGAGAAAGCAGACCTGGGGTGTTGGGTCCCGACGCGATGAGGTGTCATTGGGGAAGGAAAGTTGGAGAGCACTCTGCGGGGCGCGGCGTGCCCAGCCGCCGAGGGTGGAGCTAGGTCCCGGGAGCTTGGTGTTTGGAGGGCTCGGGGGCAGCACGCGGCGCGCCGAGGGGGAGGAGCCTGAGCCCCAGCAGAGCGGCGCAGGCGGAGCCGACTGACACGTGCCGGCGGAGGGCGGGCGCGCGCAGCCCAGGCTCGTCCACGGCGCGCGGCTCCGGGAGCCGCGCTAGCTTGTTTACCAGCGCACGTGGGTGTTATTTTTAAAAGGAAGGTAGTGCTGGATGCACGGCAGAGTGGTGGGAGGTTGGGACCGCGGGCTGTGGCTAGGGGACGCGGCCGGGCCTGCTCCACGGCTTCCCAGAGCGCTGCTCGCGAGCCATGGAGGCTCTCCACACTTGAGGCTTCCCGCGCAGTCAGTCGGCAGCTCGGGTCCGGAAGCCTGAGCGCGAGTTTCGCGCTCTGCGGGAGCCTCAACGTAGATTACACGTTCCCGTAGCAGAACACTGCCTTCTTTAAGCCCAGCTCAGCCCCCTCATTCAGGTTGCAGGAACAAAGCCACCTTCTTCTCTTCGACCTGGAGGCTGTGCCAGACCAGACATCCCGGCCACTGGTCCCAGAGCAGATTTCACAAGCTCACATACTCACTAGCACACAATACCCTGGCCACGAGGTGAATTTTCATCACCTTGCGTGGTTTGTGCCCTCCCTCTCTTGCCCCAGTCAGTTTGTCCTTGGGTTTACAGTTCTGCGCACATGCAAAAACGCTTCTGCTACTTCCAGTTGTCTTTAAAGGGGGATTTATGGAGAACGGGCCTCTGACTGCTTCCTGGGGTTGCTCTCTTCGAGAGGGTCCTCAGTTCTGATTGTGGGCCTGCCCTGCTGAGAAGCCTTGAGTTTGCATTTGGTTTATAGTATGGTGGTGCAGACCATGCTGTATCATGTCTGCTTCAAGTGCCCATGTGGTGGGCGTGGAGGGGACTGGGCGGAGGGTGTGGGGATCTAGAGCATATTGCCTGGACTGGTGTTGAGCAGCATTGAAGGGAGGCCTGGACTTTACACCCCGATACTGCCTAAAATTTAAAGAACTTCAGTTGCTTCTTTTGAATATTTTAACGCTGTAATAGAAATCCACTCTTTTTCTTCTCTAAATCTAAGCAATCTTTTGTCATTAAATTGAAGACGTAGGGAGAATGTTTGCACTGGCTGAGCTCTTGGTTATTGGATTTACACAACATGTCATGTCTATTTTCAGAAATGCATATTCCAAGGGCACTCCCCAAAATGGGAGAGTTCAAGGTTCAGTCGATTAACTGAGTTCATTGTGACCCGGGGGCATGATACAACCATTTTTTTTTTCAAAGAGCTTACAATCTTAGTTGGGGGGAATAAGTATTAAATTCAGTATTTCAAGAATTTAAAAACAGTATAAGACTAATACAAGAGATCTTATGTATAGTATTGGGTAAGTTTCTAGTGAATTGCAGTTCAAATGGCAGTGGCTGTGCACATTCAACTTGGTAAATGTGCATCTTGCCCAAACAATTTACTTGTGCGATTTGTCCCTATGGCAAAGCTTTGAAAACTCAGAGGTTGAATGTCATTGATTGTTCTCTTCTTCCCAAAATTGTTTTGCTCTTAAAGGCCTCCCTGGTCCTTTTCTATTTCTTTACCCCACTTCCCCGCCCCCCCTTCACCTTTTTAGTATAGGAAAGCTGAATAAGTTAAGGTTATCAAGAAGTAATGCCATCATGACCTTTGAGGTAGGATTTTGGGGGAAAACTTTCCTCACTTTTTTTTACCTTATTTATTCCTACAATTTAAGGTTGTAATTATCCACCCCATTTTGTAAATTCAGTCACAGGAGGAACACACATTTTTAAAATGTTCCATCTGAACAAGCTGAGTAAATTCACCTTTTTCTAATTCTGAGGGGACTGGTGGTAGATGGCTCTGCCCCTGAGGGGCCATGGCTCTGAGCTTGTGTCCCAGCCTGGGCCTCCCTGCACCTGCGCCAGCTGCCTACTCCCTCAGATCCCAGAGCCCGCAGACTAGGGACCCAGCATGCTGCCTGACTGCAAAGTGCTCATTTCTCTCTTCAGTCGCCTTCTGTGTCCGTCTCAACAATGAAGACAGGAAATGCAAACGCAGTAAAAGCCTCCAAACAAATACAGGGTGGGGCAAAAGTAGGCTTACAGTTTTCTGCATGGAAAATAATATAGTAATTAATAATACAAAAATAAACTCTGTTTTATGTGCTCACAACTGTAAACTTACTTTTGCCCCAGCCTGTATGTGATTCAGCAGAAAAGAAAGGAGGACCCCAATATTCATGTCTATAGCTGTTCCCCTTCCTTTGTCTGATACCCTCATTAGTCCCCTCCTCCGTGGCCACTTTTTAGCAAACTATATGAAAAACATACTTACTGAACATGATACCAAAGAGCTTGAGCTTTGGCTTGCCTTTCAGGGCATTCCAGGCAGGTTTCATCATCATCCTCTCCAAGAGTGTCTGTGTCTCTTGTCTTTACTCTTCCTCTTTGCCTCCATCAGGCATGACAGGCCCTGGCAGAGCCTTGTGGGGAAGGAAGAAATTTTGCTTTACTCTTCTAGGTTCTTTCAGCTGGTCTAATAATTAAACCTCCATGACACGGATTAACAACAGAAAATAAACAGATTTACTTACATTTGTATGGGAACCCCACACACGTGAGAGGTTACAAGACAGGGAAAATGAGGTGGATAAGCCATCCGAAGCTGAGGATGAAGCCTGGGGCTGCAGTGCGGAGGGAGATCCTTCTCAGGAGATCAGAGCAGCTGTTCAGCAGGAACTAGAAGTTTGCCCTGCCCTGTAGGCAGGTCACCAAGTTTATCTCTGGTGATAACTCTCATTCTGGGCAAGGCCCCCAATTCAGATTCTTGTAGGTAGTTAAGGGAGGGGCAGGGGTTTCTTCCTGAGCCCACGGGGTCTCTCCACGGCCTTCAGCTCAAAATAATTCACATGCCAAAGTAGCTCTTCTTGGGGAAGCCTGTTCTGAACCCCTCCTGCCTCCCCCAGGTCATTTAGTAATTGTCTTACGGTTTCTTTGGAGGGCAGCTCTGTGTATTTACAGGCAGGAAAAAGTAGAGGGTCCAACAAAGGTGGAAGATTTACCTGAGAGGGAATTTCATAAACAAGCGAAAGTGTGAAGGAATCTCTCTATTTTGGTGTTACGAGATGATGATAGCTTTTATTTGTCACTTAATATGTTCCAGTCCTAAAACTAAGCAGTTTATTTGCAGCAGTTGAGTCTCATGAAGATAGTGTTAGACAGGTACAGTAGTGCTAAATGATATGAAGGTTAAGGAGCCAGGGTCCAAAGTCAAGTCTGATCTCATTTACCAGCTGTCTGAAGTTGGGCTGTTATTTAACTATTGAACCTCAGTTCCTCATTCACAGAATGAGAATACTTTCCAGGACTGTTGAAAAGTTTGGGTCAAACGAGATTATGAATGTTAAGCATTTGGAATCAGAATACTAAGGAAGGTACTTTTTAAAATAGTGATGCCCAGGCTCCATCTTAGATAACTAAATTAGAATTTTTGCGTTGAGTCTACCATTGCTTTTTTTTTTATGTTTGCCAGAGAAACCTAAAGCAGCGAATGCTGAGAACACTGAGCTAGAGGTCTCTCCTCTGCACTCTCCAATGTCTGTGCTCAGCTATGACTCACTGGCTTCTGCTTAAGAATGATGTTAGAGCCATAAAAAACTACACACAAAGGGGCAGATCCCGTGGACTTAGCATCTCACTTGATCTGTGAAACAAGGACCCAGGCCTCTGATGTCACAGGGTTCTGCCCTGGGGCACAAAGTGAGTGGGCAGACCCAGGATTTGAAAGGAGGTCTGTCAGAATCCGAGGCCTGTGCGCCCCCCCCCCCCCCGCCCACCACCACCACCACCACCACCACCACCAACTCTCCAACAGATTTTTCTTTACTCGACCACTTGCCCTGCAGGAACTGGGCTGCCAAGCCCAGACGAGCACACACAAGCCCAACCACTGGTCTAGCCAGTCAAAAGCTGGTGCTTGTCTGGCCAAATCTTTCCCATCAGGTGGGTTTTTTTGGCTATCTCTCATGTTCTTGGAAGTTTTTGAGTCAATTGCCACCATTTAACAAGGAGATTTCACCTACAATCTAGATTTCTGGCTCTTCTTGAGAAATGAGAAGATCTGACAACACCGGCAGCAGTTGGCTGGGATGTGCTCTCCTGCTCTCCTCCTCATCCCCAGCCCTCTCCCCGCATTTCTGTATCCTGATTAGTGTCTGGGCACTTGGCTTGGCCGCCCCGACTCGGTCTTCCACCTCCACAGTGGCGTGCTAGGATTAGCTCACTGCAGCTCGCAAGAAGCAACTGCACGCCTCGCCCAAAGTCCTTGTTCAGTGCATCAAACTGGGAGCTTGAGATGGACCATTGTAGGAGTATTTGCCCTGCAGAAATTGGCAAATGCTAACAATCAAGTCTTTTTTTTTCTTTCTGAGAGTCATTTGGCCAGCATACCATTGTCCTACTCCCTTCAGCCACTTTCTGACTTTCTGAGGATGAAGAGTTGTTCTGCATAGAAAGTGAAGGGAACAAAAGCACTTGAGAAACTGATACAGGGTGGGGGGGGCAAAACAAGGGATTTGGAATGGGGTCCTGAATTCAAGGTGTCTAGGAAATATCAGAAAGACATATAAGATGTCCTCACCCCTTGCCCTTCAGATGTGAGTTGGGGGAAGGGACACATGGAGCAGGAACATGCAGGGCTGTTTTGTACAGCCCTAGCTTTGCAGCTAATCCATGGCATGGTCATTTAACATATCTATAGCCTTTGGCTGGTTGCTTAGATATGTTAAATAGTGGTAGCCATGCTCTGAGCCAGGGGGGTGGAAAAGGACTCTCCGAGTTACAGCGCCTGGGTAGGAGCTTGGAGAAGATTGGCTCCATGACATGGGGCCATCCCCACCCAGACTCATGATGGTGGCCCAGTAAACTTGGAAGGATACGGGAGTGCTGGCAGGTGTAACTGACTGTGAGAGGAGTCGGAAATGGGGCTGCAGAGGAGGACTGGCGTGAGGATTTAAACCCAGACTGCAGCCATTGAGAAGAGATCCAGGAGGCTTTGCCCACGTGGGGATCCCCGCAGCCATGTAAGGAGAGAGAGCGCCACGTGCAGCTTTGCAGAGAGAACCACGCGGCTTCTGGCAGAGTGGAGACCCCCGCAGCCATGTGAGAGAGAATCATCATGTGGCTTTCGTAGGGGGAATGACCATGCAGATTTAGCAGAGAATCGCCACCTGGCTTTTGGCCAGAGTGGCGACCACCCCCTGCCACCCCCCCGCCCCCTGCAGCTTTGGTGAAGAGAAGAACCATGCAGTTTTGGCCAGAGTGGGGACCCCTGCAGCTTTGGTAGAAGAGGCCCACGCAGCTTTAGGGTGCTCCCTTTGGTTGCATGGCCTGGGAAGCAGGAGAGACATTGCATGGAAGAAGGGTGAAAGAACTCTTGCCAGTGGGCCATGAGAAGGTGCCACAAGGCTTTAGATTAATTAGAGATCCTGCCTGGATGGGACACAGCTGCTGGTGCCAGCGGCCTGTAACACAGACACCTACTTCTTTTCCTGAGTTACATTACCCCAAATTAGGGCAGGGGGAGAAGGAAGATCGTGGCTGTCTGTGGGTATCCAAAATGACTTTGATATCTTCATGAAGACTTTAGGTCACTACTTTAAGTCTGTATAGCATTAAATAAACATTTCCTTTGCTTTTTACAAATCTCTGGCATTGACAGACATCTTTCCTATTGGCAATGGACAATCAAGCCCAGTAGGGGGTCCTTTCCGTATTAGTATACCGTCCTGGGAGGGGGGTGCCCCTCTATTCTGTAAGAAAACTGGGACTCAACTCTGCTTAGCAATTGATTATGCATTATCTAATCTTGTTTTTAAAGTGCTTCAATTTAATGTGGTGGAGTGGATACCCAGAACAAACCTCATGCTGAAAACTAAAGTTGGATATGATTTTTTTTTTACTATTTTTTAAAATGAATCCTTGGGCTAGCAAGAAAGTGAGACAACCACAGAGACCAATAACAAAGTTAGGGTGGGACCCCCAGGAAGTGAGCAAGCTCCTAGAAAACCCACCAAGCATCAGGGAGAGCTTCCACTTCAACAGGTGCGCAGAGCCTGAGAGGCCGAAGATAAAGCCTTGGGGGGTCCACGATCATGAACCTCTTTCAAGATAAACTGGTGCAGCTGCTACAGGAAATAATATGGAGGTTCCTCAAAACATGAAAAAGAGAATTACCATCTGATCCAGCAATCTCAATTCCAGGTATATATCCAAAGGACAAACAACATCTCAAAAAGATACCTGCACTTCCATGCTCACCGCAGCCCTGTTCACAATAGCCAAGACGTGGAAGCAGCCTGAGTGTCCACTGAGGGCTGAGTGGATAAAGAAAACATGGTGTATACGCAACTTACGCCGCCATTAAAAAAAAAAAAAAAAAGAAATCCTGCCATTTGCAAAAATCTGGATCACACTTGAGGGCAAATAAGTGTGCTGAGTGAAATAAGTCAGACAGAGAAAGAGAAATAGTGTGATCCCACTCAACAACTGGAATCTAAAAAAGCCCAACTAACAGAAGCAGAGGGGAGGTTGGTGGCTGCTGGGGGCCAGAGGGTGGGGGAAGTGGGGAGAGGTGAGTCACAGGGTACAAATTTCTAGTTAGAAGATGCATAAATTGTAGGGATTTAATGTATAGCATGGTGGTTATAGTTAACAAATAGTATAAATATATACCTGAAAGTTACTGAGAGAGTAGATCTTAAATGTTCTCACCATATACATATAGAAAAAAGGTTACTATGTGAGGTGATGGATGTGTCAACTAACATTATTGTGGTAATTTATATATATAATATAAAAACATACATTGAATCATCACATTGTACTCTTTAAACTTACAGTGTTACATGCTCACTATATTGTAATAAAGCTGGAAAATTTTTTCACACAAAACAAAGCATGTCTATATACGAGATCTATAGGAAAACCACCTCTCCCATAAAACTGGGAGGGGCTCCAATGAGCCAGTGTAAAGATGAATGTGAAATTGACCTGCTGTGCAGAAGAGGACGCCCCTCCTCCCCAAAATGTACCTGTCTTGATCCTGAGACTGAATGGAAGAATTTTTGAAAGATATATAAATCTTCCTTGAAAGTTCATAACTGTGAACTTGTGGTCCACTGTAAGATTGTGACCCAAATTTATGATACCATGGAATTAAAAAAAACTTAATGACTGAGCCCAGAGTGTTCCAAACCACTGGCAGAAGCAAACACAAATTCTCCCCTGAGGATGGTCCTGAGCCTCAGCCCCCAAGGACGCCCACAGACAGAGCTTCGGGAACAGGAGTCCTTCTTAGAAAACACAAAACAGACAAGAAAGCAACATTTTGTAAGAGCAGACAGAAACCAAAGGCAAGGCCAGCTTTTTAATACATTGGAGAGTTATTGAGAGTAAACCCTAAGAGTTCTCATCACTAAGAGACGCTGCTTTCCTTCTCACTTCTTTTCTTTCTACCAAATTTGTATGAGAAGATGGCCACTAGCTAAACCCTCTGTGCGAATCACTTCACAATAAGTGTGAGTGGAGCCATCACACTCTTTGCCTTAAACTTACACAGGGATGTCAGTTATTTCTGGAAGCAGGTGAGGTGGGGGGCGTGGGGAGGAGGGGGTGAGGTCAAACACGTGAACATTTGGAGGATTTTAATAAGCTCACAGAAAATAGTGTGCTTAAAACATATCAAGGAATAAAAGAGCAGCTTGAAAAATATAAGCTAGGAACAGAGTGTATAAAGTACATCTGAGTAGGTGAGAAATTGGAGTATACCACAGTACTTATTTCTCTTTAATTTCTTCCCAAGAAGATTTTAGGTCCTTGAAGACATGGGAGCCATGTATTGTTTGCCAATGGAAGGAAGCGCTTAGCTCTTCTTTTGAAAGCCTGCAGTAAAAATTGAGTTTGCAACTACATTTAGGAAACCCGACTGTAAAGTCCGACAGTGTCTCCAGGGGAAGACCCAAAGGCAGCATTAATGCAGGGCGGCCGGCAGGCGGCCTGCAGCGACAGCACTTGGCTTTCATTTCTCATCTTGGGAAAACCTGTGAAGTGAGCATGTGTCCATGGCCACTTATTAGAAAATCTATTTAAAATGCCCAGGAATTGGAATCTTAAATATAAATTACTTTTAAAACCTTGGTATGGTACTTAAAAGAAATCAAGGCCATACAGAACCATTCATTACCTTTCAGAATATATTGCGTCTCCCTGGTGCCACTTGGTGTGTCCACTAGTTGTAAAGTTTTCTGGAACAGTCTGAACTAAAGCTCCCACAGGGTGTGTTTGGGGGCTGAAGGGACATTCAATCTTGATTATTGTCTCTCCCACATTTATGCCTGGAAAGAGAGTAAACCTGTGGAACAGGAGGATGACAGAGAAAATGTAAAAGTTTGGCAAATTTTACAGGTTTCATGCAAAACAGTTTAAAATCCTTAAGCTAGATATGAAGCCCGTGCCTGTGTTACAGCAGACCCTGGCACGGAGAAGTACCAAGTGCAGCTACCACAGTCGCTATGGGGACGGTGTATTTGAGTTGGAAAGTTACTCATTAGCAATGGTTCAAACATCTGAGAAGAAAGTTTCTCCTCTGTTGGCTGAACTTCTCAGTTCAGGTTCTGGTGGAGCCATTCTGGGACGTTGCAGAGTAGGGGTCCTAGTGCTGTTATGGGACCTATTTTGTGAGCTCACTCGGCCCACTCCAAGAGATGGCGTTCAAGGAGACTGGCTTGCACACACCCAGCTTCTCGCCAGAGAATAAATTCTGGGTGGTGGTTCAGTCCACTTTCCTTGGAGGGTAGTTTGTCTCCACGTGTTGGAAAAGGCTGACCTTGCTCCTTTCCCCACCCTCTGGAGCAGTTCACATTCCTGTAATGACACATCTCTGTGTCCTTGGGGGGCCACTTATGCTCATTTCTGGAGACAGAGCCAATGACACCAAAATGGGTGACAAAATCGCTAAGACATACGCGAGGAGGAAGTGTCCAGGCCTCCAAATGACGAGTTATTTTATGAAAGCATAACATTGGAACCTCACACATTACCCCGCATTTTGACTCAGTCCTTTTGCAATTTCACTTCTCAAACATATAACTTGAAAGCTTTCTTTTTTTTTACATTTAAAAGGACATTTATAAATTCTGTACTTTGGAAACAAATAATGAGGCCACAAGAATTGTTATAAAAGCTCACGATCTTTGGGGTGCCTGTCCTGTTCCCCTGTTCAGGGAGCCCACCAAACCCAGTCCCTTCCCGTCAGGCCTTCCTGTTTGCTATGGAGAGCAGAGCTCCTGCTGGAGTTGGTGGGGACTTCGACAGCCAATAAGGAAAATGGGATTAGAGTTGCCTTCCTTTTTTACTTGTTGTGCCATGAAAATACAACGTGGAAGAGTGGATGGGTTGCCATGACAACCAACGGGAAGGTTTGTGACCCACATGCAGCCTAGAAATAGGAGAGGTGCCTACATGGGCTGGCCTTTCTCCAGTGGACAGGCCATGAAGCACAGGGCCCAGACTGAAGGTCACTGGCCTCAGAAACAACTGAGAGCACTTCCCCAGACCCGATACCCCTCCGGGTTAAGTGGCGAGATCAAGTGTTTCTTGCTGAACGGAGAATTAGAGAAGATCTGGGGACTTCACAGCCCTAAGGGTTCCATGAGCCCCGTCTGAAGGAGGTGGGCCCATGACCGGTTTCCCCATTGACTCAATATTATCCATAAATTATCCTCTTGAAACTAACTGATTCCCCAAGTGAACAGTTAAAATTGCATTCCTTTCTCACAAGTACAAGAACTAGTTTGTATGTGTTTTAAGTTAGCACCCCTCCACTTTTCACGGTTGTCATACATTAACACTGAAATTAGGCCAGGTTAAAAGTCACACGCCATTTTTTCCGGATTAGAAATCTGGAATTAGAAATTTCCGGATTAGGAAACACTCAGAGGGTGAGAATGTTGGATGACCTGGAAAACACCTTCCAGGGGTCTTTAACGTGGCCACATCTGATGCTGCTTCAGCCTCTCATGTATTAAAAATAGTGTGGATTGACCCTGAATCTTTCAACATTTAATATGAAACAAAGACATTTAAGATATTTTATATACCCATATTTTTTACTTGTCCTTATCTATGAGGTTGGTACTCCTACCTCCTTCAGCATATACTTTCTTTTTATCAAGAAATATAACTTGCTTACAGAAAACCACAGAACAGTTTACCAGTTATGTAATGGTACAGGTTAGTGAGCGGTTACTAAGGGAACATCCATCCAACACACGCCAAGAAACAGGGCATTACAAGCAGCAGACAATCCCTGGTCGTTCCAGATGTCCTTCCCCATCAAACCCCCCTCTCTCTCCCCCTACAAGTCATCACTCCTAACTTCTGCAGTAATCAGTTCTTTTTTTTTTTGACAGCTTTCCACCTATGTTTGTGCCCCTAAACAACTGTCACTTAGTCTCACCCATCTTTGCTCTTCCTATGAAGGGCTCGCACTGCATATACGCCCTTCTCTGTGTGTTCCTCTGCTGTCGGATTCCCCACTGTGGCTTCCGGTTGCTGAAAGTAGTCCATTGAGTGAATGGTTACCAATCTCAATCTGTACAGAGTTACCTTTATCTATTCTAAACTTGATGGCTAATTGGGATGTTTCCAGTGTAGGGCAATTGTGAACATTTTGTTCTGCACGTTCCTGGGCACGTGTACATGAGTTTAGTAGAGGAATTTCCAGGTCACAAGCATGTTCAGCATCACTGCACTGAACTCCGGTCTGTTCCCCAAAGTGGTTGTACAGTTTGCACTCTCACCAGCACTGCATGAGTGTGCTCCTCATTCACATTCTCACTTGCACTTGAAGTTGTTGGACTGTTTAATTTGTTATTTTCTTTTAGTGATGATGGATTTAAACTGGTTAGATTTAGTTAAGATTTATTGAGCACCTGCTAGGCACTTCTCTATATGAAGGGATTGGCACAAATAACACCCCTATTACCAAATCTTTTAATACAAAATCATAACGTGATTCTGTAACATAACAATACCACACTGAAGCACACCATATGACACTTTAGGTGAAATGATCAAATTGCTGTGCATCTCATGAGAGGCATTCACGTCACTACCAAGCACACCCAAGCAGGCGTTACTTCTGTTAGACTCTGTATTTAACCATGATTAAGTCACAACAGCTGTACAAAGGAGAGGATGCTCTCCACATGTCATAAATGAGGTCCATGAAGCCACAGCCTGGAGGTTTCCTGGGTGACGCCCTGACAGAGCTGGGACTTGAACCCAGGGCTAGCCGACTGCCCAGACCACACTCTGTCCACATTTCTCCACAATCTCCATCCTGATCTCTCGTTACCTTCACTGGCATCTGGAAGACGGCTGGCTGTGTCCATGGCCCACCGAAGGCCCTTGGTGGGGACCAGGCCCTGGCTCTGGCCTCACACACACCCAGCTTTTGCCGACAGAGTTCACTGCCCGGAGAGCAGGTCACGGAGGCGACGGCACTAACCCGGCAGAAGCCCATTTCTTGTTGCGTAGACCCCTTCTAAACACTCCCAGCAGGCTGGTCTGGTCGCCGTACTTACCGCCCAGAGGCCCGCCGCCTCCTCCGCAGCCTCAGCCCTTCGCAATGGGGTCTCCCTGCCCACACTCCGAGCTACTTGAGGATAAAGATTTTGTTTTAATCCCTTTTTTAAAAAAATCTAAGTTGTTGGCCAAAAGTGAACAAAGTTGCAGTTACGCACAACGAGTGACTTTGGGCGATCCACTCTCCAGTACGGCCTGCCGTTAACAATGTGGTAGGACGTACTTGCTGAGAGGGTGGGTCTTACACGGAGTGTCCTTACCACAAAGGAAAGTGTTTTGATTAAAAAGTGAGATGGGGAAAATGCATTTTTAGAGGCGATGGATGGTCTTGATTGTGGTGATGGTCTCATGGGTACACACTCCTCTCTCAACTGATACATTACCTACATACAGCTTTTAATATGTCAATCAACCTCAATAAAGTGGTTAAAATAAGCGAACAACAGAAAAAAACTGGATGTTGAGTGCCCAGGCCAGGGGTCGCCAGGGGTCGCCCGGGCTCTCTGCTGAGTCCTCGCTCGCCCAGGCCGCTCTACCTTCCCGGGTTTGGGTCTCCTCAGCAAAAGGAGGGGGCCAGACTGGAGTATCTCGGAGGCACTCAGCAGTACTAGCGGCTGTGTCTGGGTTAATTTCTTCAACAAGCACTTATCTAACACCTTCTGTGTGCACCCCTTCACAAACAAGACTTCTAGCTCGGAGCACTGGTACTCGGATAGAGTGCCAAAGAGCTGTTTTGTTTTCCCTTTTTACGGGTTTGTGGGTATTTGTTATTTTTTCATGGTATACCTATTTTTCACCATTAGATTTAGTTGTTTTTTTTTTTTTTTTTAAACAGGCACCAGCTTTGCTGTTTTCCTACTAGACTGGAAGCTCTGTGAAGCCAGGGGCTGTGTCTAATGTGTCTTAGTACCTCGGGTACAGAGCAGGTACTCAGCACCTGTGGAAGGAGGGGGAGGGATGGTGGGAGGAAGAGAGGGAGGAAGGGGGAGGTAAGGAGAGAGGGAGGGAGGGAAGGAGGGAGGGAGAGTGGGGAGGAGTGAATGGGGAGGAAGGGTGAAGGGCAAGAGAGAAGAAAGATGGACTGATCTTCAGACTCTTCCCATACCCGTGAGATCACTAAACACGAGACCGTCAATGTTTATGCCACAGCTCCTGCCATGCAGGGTACCAGTAGTAGCAGGCTCTGACCTTCTACTGACTCAGCAAATCATCAGAGCTATACAAAATTATGTTATTTTTATTGAAGCCTTTTGCAGGTCCCTGATATAATCATGGCCTTGATGAAGGATGCCAAGTACTCTTGAGTGTGGAGAAGAGAAAAAATATTGTAATAAAGTCATTACACTCATTTGGCTTCTCATCATAGACAATCTACCACTCTGGGAGTTCCTTATTTCTGCTGAGCTGGCGCTACTATAAGGCAACCTGCTTCCTGTCAGTTTTCTTGAGTACATTCTAGGGGTTCTCTTAAGGAAGGTTGACTTTCTTTACCTGGGTCCAGCTCTGGATGCTACCAAACTTCCTGGTAACCTGTAATTTATGATGAATATGGCCCAATTACATTTCTTCCTCCTATTTGCCACCATATCTCTAACTTAAATGTATAATACATAATTTTATTCTGTTCAACCGTGTTCTGCTGTGCTTAGCAGGGCATCGTCCTGCACACAGATGACAGTCCCTCACCTCTTAGAAAGAAGCCCTGGACTTCTGACTTTTCCCCAGGGGGAAGGATACAGATTTGCCCCACCCCTGCCCCATTAAGCAAAGTCTGACTGTGTAGCAGGAGACCTGCTTAGA